GAGCATAGTGGGGGGAAAAAATAAAAAAAAAAATGCAGAATGATTTGAAGAAGAATGTTAGTGTTTTATTTTTAATGTACCATGTATTCTTTATATAACAATTCAAATTTGCAGCATATTTTTTGCAGCATATTGCGCAAGATGTTTTCTAGACCAAAATTGGTTTTTCACAAATTGTTATTACTGCTTTGCTTGATAAATTATATATATAAATATATATATATATATAGAGAGAGAGAGAGAGAGAGAAACTGATTGGGATTTATTTGTGATATAAATTTGCGATTTTCAATTTAGTTTATTATTTTTGCTTATTATATGTCGACTGAAACGCGTAAAAAAGATTTTTGAAATTCAGTATTATATATGAGTACATAATTTTTTCCTCTGCCAAAATTTATATGTACATATATTATATTTTATGTACCATATTTTTATGTGTTATATTTAACATTGGTTGATCTTTACATTATGGTAACTTGGCGATTTTTTGGCGAAAATTTGGCGACCAACTCTCCTACAGCAACCCTCTATTTTTTTTCCCCGCCGCCATTTTGTCTTCACGAAGTAAAGACATGTTTCTTTTCTTTTTATCTCCTGAACACTTCTTCCAACAATCTACTAGCCGAATTACACTTATGCTAGAAATTTTATCAAACAAAACTGCTTAATCATGACAAATATTCACTGCAAAATTAGGAAAAACTACACAATACCATTCTCCTTACGCATTTTTCAAAATAACACATACACATAAACCATGTACACGCCGACTTATTTTTACTTAAAAAAACATCCCAGAATTGCACAAAAATGGCATTGCGCACACTCTTCACTATATCCATGTACACTGCTTTTTTCTCATAAATTACAAAAATTTCACGAAAATACATGACAATTTTCTCAATCTTTAAACCCGGTAAAAAGAACATATATGAAATTACCTGATCGCGAAAAAGTATTTACCCTTTACAAATATGAACATTTCCACATATAAAATAAATAAAATATCCAAAAACTTTTACCTCTAAATCATCTATCACATTATACACGTCACCAACGAATTCATACCGAAAGCATTACAAATACTTAGTATCAAATATTTAAATTATTTCCATGCACGTTTATTTCAACTTAAACGTATACCAAATTCCTACAAGCATAAAATTCACAAAATAACTATCATTTCATTAAAATATCACTAAACCATGTACACGTCGACTTATTTTTACTTAAAAAAACATCCCAGAATTGCACAAAAATGGCATTGCGCACACTCTTCACTATATCCATGTACACTGCTTTTTTTCATAAATTAAAAAAATTTCACGAAAATACATGACAATTTTCTCAATCTTTAAACCCGGTAAAAAGAACATATATGAAATTACATGATCGCGAAAAAGTATTTACCCTTTACAAATATCAACATTTCCACATATAAAATAAATAGAATATCCAAAAACTTTTACCTCTAAATCATCTATTACATTATACACGTCACCAACGAATTCATACCTCAAGCATTACAAATACTTAATATCAAATATTTAAATTATTTCCATGCACGTTTATTTCAACTTAAACGTATACCAAATTCCTACAAACATAAAATTCACAAAATAACTATCATTTCATTAAAATATAATTAAATTCAAAAAACACTACTTAAAATATAAATGAGCACATACATTAAATTAATAAAAATTACCTTACAATCCTAATTACTTTAAACTAAATCATTGCTAATAACAATTTTCCCAATAATACCAAATTCCTTTCCACCTTACATTTACAACAATGCATAAAAATAATATCCTCAAATAATTAAAAATACTAACTTACCTAATCTTCTTCAGAATCTTGATTACGTGGCGGATACACTTTTCTTACTTCTGTTTCAGAATCTTTAAAATCATACTTATCTTTCAAAGCAAGATACCAGGTAAAATAAATAACATAATAAAACATCTTTATTTCTCTCTCGCACAACCTTAAAAAACATTTATTACTATCCTTTTCAATACCACTAAATACCCATTTCGAATTCACTTTAGTTACGGCCATGGGATCCAAAAATTCACAAACACTATTTCACACAACACAGACAGAATAAGCCAAATACAAAATTGCCAGATTTTTTCCCGATTAAAGAACAGTAATTCGTCCATTAATATCACATAACATATCCCATGATCTCTCATTTCCTCACACAAAATAATGCGTAATCAGAACTGAATACTACTCACATTCTTAACAAAGTCTAACTAACCTAATCTTCTTCTGAATCTTCCTTACATGGTGGATACACTTTTATTATGGATTCAATAAAATTACTGAACGATTTTTTTTCCGAATTTGATAGAATTTGATAAAAAAAAATTCTCTTTATCACATCTACAATTCACTTTAGACAGCGCCATACAATCCCAAAATTATTCAACCCTACTTCACACAACACACAATGAAGCTTAATACAAAATAATATACATCCACAGATACTTGTCCAAATTCCCCCTTTTTCCGATTAAAGAACCGTAATTCGTCCATTAATATCACATGACATATCCCATGATCTCTCATTTCCCCCACACAAAATAATGCGTAATCGGAACTGAGTACTGCTCACATTATTACCAAAGTCCCAGGTAGTAACCTTTATCGCCTCCAAAATGTCGCCAAACTACCAGTTACCATATTGTAAAGATCAACCTTAACATTATATTTTTAAATATACATTACATTTACATAATACACATATATACATACACCTACTATAAAAATCTTTTGAAATTTTCAGTTACGTTTTAGCTGTTCGTATTTTTCTTTAAAATTAAACCTTTGCTATAATATAACCCACAATTTATTCCCACTTTGAGCTGAATTCACACTCATTTCTGAGTTATTCACCCTTTGAGCTTCAGACCACTTCCTTAACCTATTCACAATGTTCTACACTTGTTGATTTAAAAGACCATTATTTTGTATGTCATCTCGAGTTTTCTCTTGGTGTGTAGGAGCCAGTTTCCCTTAGAAAGTCCTCCACAAAGCCGTAATCAAACAAACCGCAAATCATTTTTGTCGATTTTACTGCAATCTAAAATTTATTTGGCGATAATCCGCCTTGTTGTGCGATTATTTGGCGATAATTCGACTTAACTGTATTATCGTATTTTGTATTTTTACTCAGGCTTTTAGCAAAAATTGAGTAATATTCGAAGTCAGAGCACATTAAACTACGTTAGGACTCGGAAATATATTTATATACAATAGCTGTAAGTAGGTATAATCACAAATGTAAACTTTGTATAATTCCTTTGCATCCAGAGTTCTGGCTTTAATAAATTAATGTTACAAATCCCTCTGTGTTTGACAACATTGGTGAACTGAAATTGAAGCCGTGACTCTAATTGACGGGTGCTTGAAATTCAACTGCTGCGATTCTGAAACGCTATAATATTTAATTCTGCCATTTAAAGCCGCATTATAACAGGATTCTGTGAGATGCAGCTGAATTTGAAATAGGCTTAGTTTCAGTTCAATTTATATCGTTATTAACATGCAACTGAAATAATTATATTACATAAATACTACATATAAATAGCCATATATGTAGAATTTATTTCAAATTAATATACCTGTAAATAAATGTAGTTACAGATACTTTATACATTCTCATATTTCAGAAAGCAGTTATGTTATTGACAATTTTCCTTCAGTGAAAGCGCAAAAAAGTAACTACTGTTAGTGAAAAGTGAAAGTAACTACTGTTAAATTATATCAATAGTTTGAAGAGTCCTAAGGCTATTTTGAAGCTTGAGAACAAGAAGAATGAGCAATGCCCTCGGCGTGACTCGAACCTGAACCTCTCGAATACGCGCCGAGTGTGCTAACTGTTATACCACGAAGGCATGCTGGAAGGAGGGAGAAAATACCTTATACCATTTTCGACACTATTCACAAAGTATTCACTATATACTGAAGGGATGGTATTTAGATCATTTCTGTTGTTAATTTGGAATATTAATTTTCAACAATGTAGAAAACATGATGCAGTTTTAAATGGATGTTCTATGTCTATTTAATTATAAGTTCAATATTCTATTCTGGTTTCGTTAGTGTAAGAAATATAAAACAGCTATCCGCAGATAGACAGACGTAATTTTTTGGAACGTTTCTTTAGTATGTTCTTCAGAAAGCTTCGGAAATTGAATCTTTAAGTTTGTGTTAATAATAAAAATTGAGAAATTATATCTATATATGCAAGTAATCTAAAGTCTAAATTATTTTATTTGATTATGCGCACACGAGGTCTGCATAAGATGAAGGATGTCTTCGTACAGGACTCTCTAGGGAAAACTGGCTCATATACCTGTTACACATGGAAAAATATCTAAAATACGTATGCAGCCAGAGCCTGTTAGTTTGAAATAAAACTCAGATCGAAGTACCAGTATTTAGCGACTTCATCGCTTGGCCGTTGGTGGGCCTCTGTAGTCTAGATCTTCGGAAGTTTTAATATAATATATTTTTGTAATATGTTGTTTTGTACAAATGGTTGGACAATTGCAGCTTAAAGCATTGGTCAGAAACGGCCAATAGTCATCAGGCATTATGCTGTCTCATCACCGAAGCATAGCCCAAAATGGCTTGAGGCCCAACATAAAGCGATCGATTTAACCCCGGGAGAACGGGACATTTCATTCCAATTTGATGCAATATACCCCTGAAAAGATATCCGAAGCTTTCCCATTCGTCTTTACATGCCCTCAAGTCTCTCGAAAAAGCTTTCGTCTTGCCGGTATTTTAAGTACCCCTATGTTGCACAGACACTATAAACTTATAGACATTCAGGATTTCTGCGGGATTCAAACCAGAACCCAAAGGTCCGGCAACCAAAGACACTAAGCACTACACCTATCGAAGAGGCTTTCCTATAATATCATGCATACTGTTTGATGCATTTTGTGTATTATTATAACTATATTTATTTTCTATAGGTGTGGTTCCAAAACCGGAGGGCCAAATGGAGAAAAAAGGAAAACACGAAGAAAGGTCCAGGAAGGCCAGCACATAATGCCCACCCTCAGACGTGTTCGGGAGATCCTATACCTCCAGAAGAGATCGAAAAGAGGGATCGTGACCGAAGAGAAAAGAAACTCAGAAAACAGCTAGAACGCCAAGCTAAACGGTTGCAACAGGCTAAAGTGAAGCCCGGTGTAAATGTCGCTAGTCTTAGGTAACTATTAATTTCCTTAAAAATTGCAAGCTGAATTAAGAGTATTAGTGAAATACACAAATTGAATTTGAAGTATATATCATTAACTATAGTTCGACCGTCTCAAACGAAACTTTGGCTGGCATTCTACCAAACCACATAGACTCGTCCAGAGGGGCGTTATTACGTGCTGCGACGTGAAAGGTCAAGTGAAAGTCTTCTCTTCTCGTAGATCGGGGATCATCATTTGCCATTTGGGCTCAACTACAGAAGAGTTTTTGCCAATCATTTTTTGGTTGCCACGGGCCATTTGCAAGTAGTTGAAACATTTGTTGCCACCTGAAAGCGTGAATGAAACATGACTGAAGTCAGGCGATTATTAGTCGTAGAAAGATGGACGTAAAAGTTCATGCTTGGCAGAAAATTTTGGTGAGCAAAACGGGGGATCGAACCCTCAAAATTTCAGTCCGTAGGTTTTCATGTGTGCCTTGTACCACCAGGCTAATGCTTCATCATCTCTGATTGGTCGAATTACTTACTTGTCGCTTTTTGCGAATTTCATGAGCATCACTGGGGCTTGGAAACCTGCCTTGAGTTTTCCGCTATTGTTTCAGCTGCTTTAATTTTCCCTATGTGGAAAATGATGGAGCTTAGAAATTCGTTTATTTTTTCGTCCTTCAGCCAAGAGACTGCTTCGGTTAGATCTTCAGGAAAGGTGAGCTTTCAAATTCACCTTTTCGCTGTATTAAGCTTCGGGTTGATTTTTCTTCACTGGTTCTTCACTAGATGCCATTGCTGGTACCATTTTTAGTTCTTAATATTTTATAAGTTATGTACTCTTTCCCCAGCATTTTATATAAAGGCTGCTTAAACTCATTAGGCTTGAAGCAGAAGCAGTGAAAAAATGTGCAGTTCCCTCGCCGGGACTCGAACCCTGGACCTCTCGAATAAGCGTCGAGTATGCTTCCAATTACACCCCAAAGGTTTTCTTCTCTTCTCCGGAAAGCGAGAATTTTTATACTCGAAAGAAAGAAAGTCCCCATCCTTCCAACCCTATTCTGAGAATAATTCGATTCGAAAGGCGCATGCGCGTTTGCGCTTATGTTCGCGGATGAGGCGGTCGATCTATGTTTGGGTTTTGCATCTTTACATTTTAAGACACTTAGGGCACATTACTTTTGTAATAAAATGATTAAACATCTGAATTTCATGAATTATAGAAAGATGTTTTCCTATACAGTAAAATTCTATTTATAATGTTTTTATTTCTCTCAATTTTATTTAACGCTGGTAAGAATTAGCTCAAGTCATTTAAGAGAGAAAATTATTTAAATTGTTAGACAAATAGTAATAACAATATTACTAAGAAGAATATTCAGTTCCTCATATATACTGATGAGTTGTTTGAACACATTGCAATGAGAAAAACCATTAATCATGAACCATTAAATCATTCGTATTTCTTCACTGTCTATTAATCATTGCCATTAACCATTCATCTTTGATCATTAGCCATTTTATATCTCTTCATAGTCATTAACCATTCACCTGTAACCATTAACCATTTGTATCTTTTGCTTCTATATTTTTTCCATGCCAAATCATAATTTATACATTCTTGGGGTGGAGAGGGAGATCATGATTTTCTGCTTGTGTTTAAACTGATTCTATGATTTGTCGCTAGAATATTACTCGATTTCGAAACAATTTGTATTTAGAAAACGCTACACCCTTAAAATAAATAAATAAAAAATAAAATATGTCTACTTTTGTAATTTAACATCATAGAATTTGCATGTAAGAGAACAATTTTTCTTCAGGAAGTTCACGGAAACCATATGAAGGCAGTCAATTAAATTTCTAGAAAAGAAATCTTGGCAAAAGCGTTTTTGCATCTTTAATCATTCGGCCATTGGTGTGTCGCAACACTGGGTCCAGAAGTGATGAATGATTTGTTTTGAATAAAGTTGACTGCTATATTTTTAAGACATTTTGCATGCATGTCTAGGTCATAATATTATCTCTAAGCGTCGTTTGCTGAACTCTCTGAACGTTCACCTGATTAAAATTAATAACTAGCCACTTGGCCGCCCAGCTGCTTAAAACAGTTATAAAAAACAGATGCACAATGTGTTTCATGATTCCTAATTAATATAATTTCGCGAGTAGAGCTAATAATTAATAATAAGGAATGACGAACTACGTTTATTACTTTTAAACCACTTAATTTGTTAATTAATAACATAAAGTTTAAATTTAAAAGAAAATTTAATATAAAATACTTTGCCGAATAGCAACACGATGGAAAGTGCAAGATAAAAATATTTTATTTTGAACAGAGACAACATATTCCTTCTTAATCTCTGAGTTTGTTGATTAAATCTGGGACAGATATATATTACACTTCTCTGAGTGGCAACACGTTGCTTTTAAACCGCTGTCATTGTTAATGAAAATTTCATTTCATTAAGTTCAAAATTAAGTGGGAAACAAATTTGGAATTCACAGTTGGGGCTTCGATGGGCACAGAATAACATACAATTTAATATTAGAGTTATTCACAACTCTACAGAAAATAAATATAAATGGTCAAGGTGTAGAATATATACATTTGCAAATATAACTTTTATATTTTCTCGTTGGTAATACCAAATTAGTAGCTAACGTATAACGATGAAATCAATTTTTGAAAATTTTACTATGCAGAAGATTCGTTGACACGTTGATTGACCAAAAAAAAAAAAAAAAGTTTTTCGCAGACGATTCAGTATTTCTCATTCAATTAATTCAGTTCTCACTTCGCGACAAGGCAAATATACATAAAAACTCAAAATGTCTGTATTGAAAATTATGAAGTAAATCTTAAACTCTTATTTCCTCGCATAAATTCCAGAATGGATTAAGCGTGACTTAATTCGCAATAATAAAAGAAGGCGTTATCTTTGTTATTGCAAAGTTTACTTTCTCTAGATTGGCAACAAATCTACTATTCTGTTATTTCAAATGTATACAAGCAATGGCCGACCTAGCAAAAATTATTGAGCTTAGCGGCACTTAAAACAACTTTTAAATTGTTCATAGTTCTAAAAATATTGCATACAGATTTGCTAAAGCCATAAAAACCTTAACCGGAAGATAAGAACAGCATACTTCCATCAGTTTTAAACCAAGAAATGCATAATTAACAAACATATAAGAATAAAGAAACTGAAATCACTGAGCCGAGTAACAGAGTGGACATATATATGCATATATTTATACACTTTTGGTGCGGCCGATTGCAACCAAAATACGAGGTGCACATCTACATGTTATAGCAGTCCTATATACAAAATTTCTACGTTCTGAGGCTACTCGTTTTTGAGTTGGGCGGGATACATACCCACAGACGCCACAAAAAATTCTCTTCAGAATGCATTTTAAATTAGTTTTACAATATTTTTGGCTGGAAAGAGTCCTTTCGAAAATGGATATTTGCGTAGAAATACGATGGCTGAAACTTTTCGAGATTACAATACTTCCTTGTGCAAGGAAGTAAAAAAGTGGCTTTAGTTTTATTTTAAAATTATCTTACTTTTTTTTAATAGTCTGTATTTGTATTTAGAGGATTTTATTGCTTTCAAATGTTGGGTTTGAAAAAAAGATTAATAGCTACTTTGTTGTAGTATATACAGGGTGATTATAATTAAAGTTTAAGTTTCAAAACGCTATAAAAAAGAACCACTGATGAAAATGATGTGAAATTTGAAAGGAATGTTATTGAAGAATGCGGAAAGCGTATGGCAGAAGAAAAAATTTAGTTTCAAAAGTTAGCAACAGATGACGCTGTAAGCGGCAGAATCACGACGAGAAACGAGAAGCGATTCGTAAAACAATGGTTAAGGTGGAAGTTACACATTAAAACGCATTGACAAATTAGAATTGTTGAATAATTTTATTTGCATGACTGTACATATCACATCGAAAGGTACAAATCGGTTTCAAGAGTTTTGCGGCGACATACCGCATAAGAACCATTCATCCAAGAAGTTCGGAACTGTCGCGAGACTGACACAAAACATGTTCAATGCATAAAAATGATTTCATCCACACATCCACGCTGTTGCAGAGCTGGAATCACGTGGTTGCGCAAAAGAGACGCATACCTCTGACCAGTGACGGTTGCACCCGTCTGGTCCGGAACAGGACCGGAAGCACCCGTCTCTTCGAAAAAATATGGTTTTAGGATGAATGATGCCGTAAAGCCACACCATACCGTGACCTTTTCAGGATGAAATGGTACGGGGTGCGTTGCCAGTGGATTTTCTGTTGCCCATATTCGACAATTCTGGGTATTCACGTATCCTGTCAGATGGAAATCGGCTTCATCTCTCCACAAAATTTTCCACGGCCATTCATTATCCACTTCCATGCGAGCCAGGAATTCTAACGCAAACGTCTCCCTAGCTGTCAGGTCAGGCGGAAGCAACTCCTGCACATGGCCAATTTTGTACGGATAGCATTGCAGGATGTTTCGTACAATTTTCAGCAGCCGTGCTCGTAGGCCTGTCCAATGTTCCGTTCAATTCCTCGTGCACTTGCACGGTTGCACACCACCGGCCGACCCCTCCTGTAATGCTGTTGACCACTTCTTCAACTACCGTCGAATGCACTCGTTTTCTCCCTCTACCAGATTGCACATCAAACGAACCTGTCGTTTCGAATTTTTGCATCATTTTCTTTAGACCACGACACTCATTGGACCAACGCCTTCTTTTATACCCTTCAGTGTCCTGAATTTTTGCAGAGCTACTCTTGCACAATCATCATTCTTGTAATACAGCTTTACCAGCAGAGCGCGGGTGGTCCTGCAGTGAAACACCATGGCCGAACGTCTGAGACGCGAAATGAAGGAACAGCCTGGTTATCCTTGACGGCTTTATAAGACTGAAATTTAACTAACATTTTAATTTACGTCTTCTTTCGCGCTTGCAGCGCCATCTGTTGCTAACTTTTGAAACTAAATTTTTTCTTCTGCCATACGCTTTCCGCCTTCTTCAATAACATTCCTTTTCAAATTTGACGTCATTTTCATGAGTGGTTCTTTTTCTTTTATAGCGTTTTGAAACTTAAACTTTAATTATAATCACCCTGTATATATATATATATATATATTTGGTAAAAGCTTACCTTTTCGCTATTTAATGCATCACTCAATAAGTTCCCGGTCTGACACATATGTGGCAATACTGCTAACAGACCCATATGATTTCCCGATAGTAGCATCCTTCAGACTATACATGCCAAAATTTTCATGACATTCTGATAATTAGTTTACAGGTTACAGTAGTTTTAGTGACCCTAGTTTTGTAATTTTCAAAACAATGGATCAAAAATAATTTCGTGTGTTGATTGAACATTGTTTTTTTATGGGAAAAAATACTGATGAAGCCAAAAAGTCACTTATTAAGCGGTATGGAGGCTCTGCACCAGGAAAATCAACTATTATTGACTGGTATGCTGAATTTAAACGCAGTCGTACTATAAGGTATTTTCTCCTTCCTTCCAGCATGCCTGGTGTAACGGTTAACACACTCGGCACGTATTCGAGAGGTCCAAGCTCGAGTCCCGGAGAGGACACTGCACACATTTTTCACATCATCTTGCTTTAAAATAACTTATGGCGCCCTCACTAAAAGGTGGTGCATGATTGTTCTTCACCATCAGGACCTGTCAATTGGGTCCCCTAATCCCCAGACGTCATTTAAAATTAGGACTATGGGAGGTATTTTCTCCCTCCTTTGTGCATGCCTTCTTGGTGTAACGATTAGTACACTCGGCTCTCTTTCGAGAGGTCTGTGTTTCGAGTGCCAGAGAGGGCGCTGCACATTTTTCATGTGCTCTTGCTTCAAAAAATCCTAATGATTCTACAGAAAATAAGTGTACTGTACAGTATATAATGTACTCTACAGTACATACATACATAATTCTAATGACTATAAACATCGAGGATGCCGAACACTCTGCTCGCCCAAAATCGGCAGTTGCTGCGGAAAACATAAAAAAGGTTTTAAAAAATAATTTTGAAAGATATTAAAGTGAAGCTGCGTAAGATAGTTGATATCTAAGAGATATCAGAAGGTAGTGTGTTTAGAATTTTACACGAAAATTTGAGCATGTGTAAATTGCTTTTGAGGTCGGTGCCACGTTTGCTCACACCGGAATAAAAAACAACAACTCGTCGGCGATTCAGAGCGCTGTTTCGAGCTATTCAAGCCAGATAAAAAGGATTTTTTTCATCGGTGTGTGACAATGGATGAAACTTGGATCCCCTACTACACACCTAAATCAAAAAGATCGTCAGTTGAATAGACAGCAGCCGGGAAAAGTCGTCCGAACCGAGAAAAAACGCAAACTCAGCTGGCAAGGTTATAGCATCCATACTTTGGGATGCGTATGGTGTTTGGTTCATTATCTGTCTTGAGAAAGATAAAACTTTCGATGTAATACCGAATATTACATGGAATTATTGGATCGATTGAATGCTGAAGTCAAGAAAAATATCCTCACATGCAAAAGAAAAAAATGCTGTTTCACCAAGACAATGCCCCGTGTCACAAGTCGATGAAAACGATGGTTAAATTGAATGAATTACCTCCTCACCCAACGCACTTTCTAGATTTGACCACCAGTGACTACTGGCTTTTTACAATCACTAAAAAGATGCTACAGGGAAAGAAATTTAGCTCAAATAAAGAAATGATAGCCGAAACTGAGGCTTATTTTGAGAGCAAAGGCAAATCGTTCTACAAAAAGAAAACATCGAAATGTTAGAGGAGTGTTGGAATTAATGTATCACTCTTGAAGGAAAGTATGTTGAGGAATAATGTGGAATGCTTTTTAAAAAAAAAATGCTTTTCTTAGCTAGACGAGAGACTTATTTAGTGATCTGTTTAACTCTACATTTAAAAAAGATTTTTCTTTTCTTGATCAAATTTAAAGTAGAAAAAATAAATTAATATCACGTGAAAAAGTCAAAAATTTCGAGAATTGATAATCTGATGCTTTAAATGTGATAAAAGTACTTATCGCGTTTAAATACGTACTAGTAAATGTGATAAAGTACTTGCTGTATTTTAAGCATTTTCAGGTACTGAAAATTAAACTTATACAGTGGTAAGTTTTAGTATTTTAAATATCTTTAAGCATAATTCTAGATTGAAATTGCGAAACTGAAGTAAATCTTAATTTTTTTCGCTTTTTCCTGGAAAGGAAATTTTATAAGAGCATTTACACATTTTCAGTGCTATTATACGAGGAATACTAAATGTCTGGAGAGCTTTCACGAAAAGAAAAACAAGTTAGGAAATCATAACATTTTCAAAACGAAAAGCTCTTATTAAAAAAAATATCAAACACATTCTTATAATAAAATATTAATATAAATATGCTTCCCTTCATTTCAAATAAAAATAAATGTCAAGTGTTCTCATGCATTGTAAAAAGAACTGAAAATTGCACCATTCTGCGTATACGAGCGTGAAACAGAAATTTCATTCGCTGAAGCATATGAAAAGTTTCACAATAGGCTGCATAATTTTTAACACGAATCTGAAGAGATGTATAAGGTTTTGGAATCGTTTTAGATTCCTGCTTTTGAATCCTTTATTTCCCTTTTTGGGAAAAACTTCATATAGTAAATCAGCAGCGCTCTGCATCACGAAGAATATATACGTTCCGTGATGTAACATGAATAAAGTCAATGCCTTGGGGAGGGAAGCAGAGATGTGGTTTCGGTGATACGAGAAGAGTTGACAAAAGGCATGAAAATGCAGTTCGTCTTTCCAGAAACCTTCCATTACTCATCTGAATCATTTTTTCAAAAGTGCGAAAAAGTATAACTTAGAAATGCCTTGAAATATAACTTCTTTAAAATACCTGCAAACCAAAATACATTATCCGCTTTGTTATGAGTAAAGAGACAATTTCTCTTTTCAGAGAATGAATAAGGGGAAATATTTATGGAATATGAAAGCTGTAGTCGAGATTGAGAAAGATAAAAACGTTTTTGCAAGCACGTCTTTTTTTTTTCTCCCGCGTTCCAAAAGCATATGGTGTGTGTGCTAAAAGGGTGATTTATCAAAAGGGTGGCCTTAAGTCGTGATATGTTTTAAACTTCGCATTCAGTCGAAAAGTTATTCAAATATTAAAATGAGAAAGTAGATACTACCTCAGTTTTGCTGTTTGCGAAATTTTACTCTTTTTAGAGCAGCATCACTAAGAAAGAAAAATTTTGAAAACTAACACTGTAAGGAAAATCCATGACTTTCAATCAAAGGCTCACTCAAATAAAAGGCGTATCGATTTTTATTTAGGAATATTTTTACTAAATAAGTATAACATTGTTTCAAGGAGAATTCATTTCTAAAAATTCTGCAAATATTTACATGCTTTCTGTTAATTAATCAAAAGCAGTCATTTTTTAAAATTTAGCAGCATGTAACTCATTTCTAAAAAACACTACACAATCATAGCGAAAGCGGGAAAGATAAGATGTTTAAGTTGTTTAAGATTTTTCTATTTTATATATATATTGCTTATAAATTTTTCATTTTATATGAATATGTTCATTCATCTAATGGAGATAAAATTTTAATTACTCTTTTTATTTCAGCGAGGCTATCTACCAAACACTAAGTGAACTCCGACACATCAATGATCGAAAAGAACCTCGAGACCTAGTAGGCGCAGAGACTTATGTGCTTCTGGGCACGATGGGCTTTGATGTCGTGGATGCCATGAATCGATCCAGTAAGAGTCAGCAGTCACAGCAGCAGCATAATCACTGCAGCAACAGTGGCAGCAGTAGTCTGGGAGACGTTAATGTTTGTTCCTTAGGTGACGACAACACCACCGATGAAGATGTTGCCGGCAACAACAACAGAATCAGCGACTATCATCTCCACCACCGTCCTCAGCTGATGGTCACTCAGAAAGTCAATCCCTTCAGTATTGAGAACATCTTAGCTGAGGACAAAGTGGCCAGAAGTCGCCTTATGGGATCCTCAGCAGTCGGTCCTTATGCAGTCACTCAACCGGTTGGTTTTCTGGTGAGATCACAGCATGAGGTGGGAAGTCCAAGTTCATGCCAATCCAGTGACGTCTCTCCAAGTGACTACAGTGCTCCAAGTAGCCCCGATAGACCCACAACAGACTGTAAAATTGGTGATCCTGAGCAATCCGAGTCTGAATCTGAAGACGATGGACCACCCGAGGGAGAAATTGAACTCAGATTACGACTGCAAGAAGGTGAAGACAGGAACGTTATGGTCGTGCCATGCAGTCCCCCACCCACTCACACCTCTGTAGTTAACGATAATAATACTAACTTAAAGCACAATATTTCAACTGGTTCTATGACACACAGGTTGTGAGATTTAATTGTATTTTACGTTGGACGAATACATTCATGTATCAATTATGACCAATCCCTCGGATACATGCTTTGTATCCAAGACAGGCTGAAGAATTATTTCATTTGGAATAATCATTGAGCATATTTGTTTCACATCTGACATGTGATTGGTTGAAAGACTGATAAAAGAAATTAAAGTTTCCGTGACTGGCAAAAATATGCATTTCCACCAGAACTAAATAATTTCAAGTGTAAATAATAAGAAGAATTAATTGAAGAAGCGGAAATACTTGTATAGGTGCATTTTTGTTCTTACAAATGATCTAGTTGAATCAAAATTGGGAAAAAATTACATACCAACATTACAGTTAACGTATGGAATCTAGCTGAAATGTTAACATACTACTTACCAAAATGTGAAATAATTGAACAATAAGATTGCATATTAAATGTTATTGCTTCGTAATGAGAAATTTGAATAACATATTCAGAAAAAAGTATTTTCGTTTTCTAAGGTAAAATTCTGGTCAGTTAAAAATGTAAATCTGAAATTCACTGACTAGCATATTAAAGTAATATTTCCAAAAAAGATTACTTAATTCTGTGCCTCTTCAATAAACAAACTATTAGATTTGTATATAGGTTCTGAGTCATAATTTATATTAAAAATATCTTACGGTGCAATCATGAGATTCACGACCAGCAATGAAACCGGAAACGAGCCATTTGACGAGGTTGAAAAATGTGAATTATTTCCTACCACATTCATCAAGCCAAAAATATCTTCTTAAAATTTATTATTTTAGGTTATTCGAAATTAATTACAAGAATTCGTAAGATATGCTTTTGATGGACTTCTGTTTAAATATATGTATTTATTAAATATAAAATAAACAAAAAAATTATAACTGAAATTAATCATCAGAATTGACAATGATTAGTACCTCTTAGGAATGTGTGTTTTCATTCAATGGACTTGTAATTGATTGTATAATAAAGTTATATAATTGAAAGACCATATTTCAAGTGCGTAATTATACTCGACTGAAGACTCATTTTATTGTAAGAAAAAAATCTGTTGTGTACACCACATGACTCCCTTGGGCGGAATATTAAATTATGTGCATTTTTTGCTGCATTTCATTTAAACTTATTTCCTCGAGTTTCATTAGAGATATATTTCTCATTCAGTTAATGCAATTCCCACTTCGCGGCAAGGCAAAAATACCTAAAAACTAAAAATATCTTCCTTAAAAATTGAAAGATATGGAAAAGCATAAAACAGCAAATGCTGTTTAAAAAATTAAAAAAATAATTCTTACAATTAAAAGTAGAGTTTCTACGTAAAAACAAACAATTCGGCCAGCGGGGAAGAAAACAGATTTTCAGCGCACAAAACTGAAAATTTACTTTTGGTCCCACTTGACAAAAAAGACACTGAAAGCGCAGAAAGACTTAATTCACTGTTCTGCTAAGTTTTAAATGTAAACAAATACCGCTGCTGTGGAAGAAAAATGAGGCTTAGCCGCACTTAAACAACTTCTAAATTGTTTATAATTCTACAACTATTGCATGCAGATTAACTAAAGGCATAAAAACCTTAACCGAAAGCAAAGAATCTGCAATTTACCAACATAATAAGACTAAAAATAAACTGAGCCGAGTTAGGTTAGGTTAGGTTATTTAATTACGGCAAAGCCTCGAGGGCTATCTGCCTAAGGGAGGGATGCCTTCGTGGAGGACTTTCTAAGGGAAAATGGCTCGTATACACGTTACACATGGGGAAAACCACGAAAACATCCATGTAGCCAGCCCGTTCGCGGGATTCGAACCTCGGACCGAACTACTAGTGTTCAACGACTTTATTATTTTCAGCGACTTCATTATTTTACCACTCGGCCGCTGGTGGGCCTCACTCAGCCGAGAAACAGAGCGGGTATGTATATATATATATATATACTTTTGGCGCGGCCGATTGCAGCGAAAAAGAGAAATGCAAAACTACATATTATAGCATCCTATACAAAATTTGAACGCTTTGTGGCTACTCGTTTTTGAGTTATGCGAGGTATATACGTACATACAGACGCCATGGGGGGAACTCTTCTGAATCCATTTTAAATCAATTTTATAATTCGTTTGGGCAAAAAGAGTCCTTTATACTGTCCTTACGTACAGATGTCATGCAAAAACGTCGTTAAATTGCATTCGATAGCGGTTAAAATGGATGTTTCCGTTGAAATATCATACCCGGAATTTTTCGTGATTACAATGCTTCCTTTACTTCTTACAAGGAAGTAACCAGCTGGGCCTGAAATCATCATTATGTTTTCCGAATAGTAAAATATGTAAACATTTTAACTGCACCAGCCTGTTTTTTTTTTTTTTTTTTTTCTTGAGAAAACTTTATACTTAACGGAACATCTAAGGGCAAATTTCATATAAAAATGATGTAAATATGGAATATATTTTGTACCACAGCAAACTTTATAAGCAAAAATATTACCATAAAACTATTATTTACTTTTTTACAGCTCAATATTAAAGCTCAGATGATTGAATGGAAGCGAATAAGAACATTTTTAACTACTTAAGCTTCTTTCAATGCTTTTAAAATTGCCTGAATCTAATTTTTAATCATATTATTATTTGGAATATTTCTAGTTTTCGAAGCTAGAATTAAAGGTATTGAACGTAAACCAGGATCTTGATAATTTCTTAATGATCCCATTAAAAAGTAGTTATTTAAAAAGTTAATATATATTACACACATTAAAAAAGTAGTCAGAGAAATGTTCATCTTCAATTCAGTTCAGTTCAGAAAATATGCGCAGCTAGAATACTTTTATTAAAATCGTTTTGATTTAGGTGAACCTTAATCATGCGGATAAAAATCATTGTATTGTTCAGCTAATAAATTAAATTTAATACTACTTTTAATCTTTTATAACCCATCAATGATTTAGCAGTGAATTTGTATCTTTCCCATTCGTTTACCGAGAAAGAAATGAATTAACTATAGACATTCTTTAGTGCTTTATCATTAACAAAAAGCAGTTTATCTCCAAATTCTTCATGAAATTTTTTCCGAATACAGATATATGCTTTACTATAACAATTTATCAAATTTTTCGCAGATTATTTAGTCTTCGATAGTTTTCTATTAACTCTACACCTGAACTCTGTTTCTTCATTGCTCAGTTTTGCTTTTAGCTGGATAAGCTGCAATGTTAAGCTACTCTTAAGAAAGTTAAAACAGTAAATATATATTCAGGCAAATAAACAATCAGCAAAATATTAATTCATGACTTAAAACCTATCGGTTAACTCCAGTTTAAAGCAAATACATGCAAATACATAGCTGATTCAGCCAATTAGCCGAATTGTTGTAGTTTGCTATTACAGACGTGGCAGTAATCAACGTCTGCATGAAAATAATTCTTCCAGCACTTTAATTTGAAAATAACAATCTCTGCAAATTTTACCTACAGTTATACTTACCATGCCTCACCTATAATCTATACAAATGTCATATACAGAGACTGTAGGCTGTTGTGTTATAGGAGGTTCTGATATAGAAGCTTCCTCGGGGTGACACTCTTTTCTGTCAGGATAAATAAAAAGGCAAAAGTAACACCTCAAAGAATTTGCTCACGCTACATCTCTAAAGACTAAATGCTTTAGGAATGTTGCAAAGGTTGTTCACACATTTTTTCAGACGATTTTGCTTTGCTATAAAAAATCGTCTACTTAGAAATTCTGTTTTTTAATCGCAGTTATATTTCTTTTGGAAGGTATAAATATTCGTCTGCTACTTGACAGTTTTCTTTTCATGCAAAATGGCGCTTTTAAAGAAGCAATGTATAAGAAGGCTATGTTTTTTGCTCTTTCCAGAGAAAATTATTTGTATCTAGTTATTAAAAACATTCTGAAAGTCATGGTTTCTCGATGTCTAAAGCTACGATAGATAATATTATCAACAAGAAAGGAAGCAAACGTCAAATTTTGACTTCGTATAGATAAATTGTTCCAAATACATATCCAAGAATTAAAAAAAAAAAAAAAAAGGTTTCAGATGCTGCATAAGTAAGATTTTTAATATTGAAAATAAATCCGCCAAGTCAAAAGACAGTTACAGAATCATTAAAAAACATAATGTGCATCGTCTTTTTCTCCACGACATATCGCCGAACACAGAACGCGCTGCACAATTGTTTATGTGAAACATATATCCCACTAAAAACACAAAAATATCGTCACAATAGATGAATCTTGGATGTATTTAAATAACTGAAATAAAAAGAGATCCATTTAATGTCATCAAAGAGGAGAAAAAAATCTTAAAACATGATTCAAAGAATCTCAAAAACGTTTTTGAAAGGGATTTATTATTGTTGTTGGTTTTTCATACAATGCAAATTAAAACTAAAAGTAGTGGAGAAAATGTTAAGACCAACTTCACATATTGTCAGGAAAATATTTTATATCCAGTTTTCAAATATGAAATACCTTCTCTTTGGCCACAATCTGTAAAACGGCATCAAGACAAAGTAAACAGCCACACGTCAAAATCCATTGTGTATTTCTTAGAACAAAATGGAACGAGAAACGGGTATCAAGGCCATATCCCCACTAATTCTGCTAATGTATCCCCCATGAAGTTTTTTGCGCTTTGGGACTTTTAAAAGGGTATTGACCAAACATCCACTAACAAGCTTCCTTGGACGTTGGAAATCTGTTCAAGAGGAATGCGATAAAATACCTCTTGTGACACTAAAAAAAGGCTTTATTGTCTTGTAAATTGCGGCGTAGAAAGGTAAGGAAGAATAAGGGTTATTAAACAGAACATTTAAATCACAAATCTTTTATGTAAATGCAATGAAAATCGCCTAACCCTTTAACTGTCAAGTTATTTTGATGATTTGGGTACACAAATTGTCAAATTTTTTTATTGCAAAAACCAAATGTTTAGTACAAAATAAAATATACTTAAGTAGTTAAAAATTGATATTTTGACGTACATGGGTAAAATTTTTAAAGTTTTGTAGCCACTGCATATTTTTTGAGGCAGCTGTCACTCAACATGGCAATTGCAAAGTTCGCTTCTAGTGGAGCATTATTTTCTAAAAAATAAAAAAAAAAATTAACTATTTTCTAAAACATAAATAAATATAAGTGAATACCTATTAGTAAGTTGAGTAATTCAGTCTTATGTGGTACAACTGGAAACACTTTTCCAAGCACAAACCAACTCCACAATCACTACACCAGAATCGTGATTCCTTCCTTATCTTTTCCCCATTTTTATCCTTTTTCGAACAACACACTTTGCACTGTCTTGTAGGCTCACGTTTTGCAGGAATAGGAGGAAAATGGGATATAAAATGTCGTTCAGTAAGACGGGCAGGATTATCTATTGTAGGTGGTCTGCCAACATTCTTTTGTCCAGAAGCTGCATCATCATATTTATGTAAAAGCTCTTCTACAACTTGGATTCGAAATTCTAAAAATGTAATACGTTTCCCAACTACATTTTTATAGAGCAAATATGAGTTCCAGAGTACCTTGTCTAGTAAATGTAAAAATATCTTTTTATAATATTTTATCTGACGTTTTCGGATTGTTGGATGAAAGGATATTTCCTGATCACAGCGATCTACACCACCCATAGTTAGACCGTAATTAGAAACAATCTTCGGCTTGAGTATATCTCCATTTTTTATTTTTGAGGCTGACCATGGAAGTATCATGAATACTGCTCATCAAACACACATCCTTCATCTTCGGTTTTGAAGAATCTAAATCATCTATATAACGTTTTCAAAGAACTGGACGCTATTTTACAACAAAAAGATCCCATGCACCTTGAACCAAATAACCTCTAACCTTTGAAATCTTTAGTAAAGTGCTGTCGTCTATTGAACTGAGCGCACATTAACTTTTCCCGAGATACAGTCGGGTTTGACAAAGAGATGAAGCCGAAATAAACGTCTCCCGATATATATTCGGGTATAACAATA